CGGAAAGCTGTAGTTGGCTACCGTTACTTCATTTTCTACATCCGAGAAGAATAAAAGCTAGATAAGAACGAAGTTTTTGTTGTGAAATGTTTCTAGAATAATTTTAAACTAAAAGTTAAAATGGAATTTATTAAAAATTGCTAAAAACAATTATGTGTGATGTAGTTAAGGTTCTAAAGTTTCCATTGTCAGCTACCGCCGATCCCGATCGGATATGCTGGAGCACGTGACTCTACTAGGCATCTTACCCCAACAAAATCCCAAAAGATGCCACATTTTTCTTGGGGTAACATGCCTATTTTTTGTTAATTGAATTCCAATATGCCTATTTTTAATAAATTTTTGTTTTCTCGTTTTATTGCAGGATATGCATAGAAATTATATGAGCACTTCTCAAAAAGGTTTTTGGACTGAAAAAAGCTTTCAGCTAGCTATAGAGCACGTTAGAACGGACAAATAATAATAATTATTATTATTAAACTCACATGTTTTGGAACATACTAGTTTTTATAACATTAACCAGTTTAAAATAATATCCATAATTATAGAAAATTCTACTATATTATATTTTTGTGTCAATAAAACTTTTCTTGAAATAGTAGTAAACTGCCACAGATGCTAATTGTTGAAGACGTTTCCTTCTAAAAGAATGATCATCATCTACTATCAGGGCAATCAAGAGCTTGTATGGGGTCTAGGAGTAAAGAAGGCTGCTATTGCCATATTTTTTTGAACAAATAAAATATGTAAAATGTTTCTTTATTAATAAAAAGTAATGTTAAAGATTTTATTTTCAGTCAGTAAAAATATCATTAATTTTACAGGAGTAGAAACCACTAAGTTTTCTCTAAGACTGGGAAAAAAATCCCTCTTGACTGCTCTGTCTATTATCAATATCCAAAACACATATATATGATAAGTAGTGTTGCCACCAGGCTGGCTTTCACCTGGACAGGTCAGTTTTAAATTCATGGTCTGGATTAATTATTAATTTTTCCGGTTTTTGTAGAAATTGTGAAATTATAACAAAAAATAAAGTTATAAAAATATTTGAGAGTATTTTGCAAATATTAGGTTTGTTCCAACACAAGTCCCTAACTGGTTTAAAACTGGCATGCACATTGTTCAATTCTTGGCTGTAAAATGACATCATGCATGCCTTGTACAGTTTTAAATTCAAGCCAGTCAGGGATGTGTGTTTGAACACATCTATTGTAAAAGCGAATGTGAGTTTCAGTTTACAAGTTTATAATTTCTATTTTAATTATTTAATATGACAACTCAAGAAATTGAAAACCCAAAAAAGAGGAAGCAAACTTGTAAATTTAATAAAGATTAACTGACACAAAATGAATTTCAAAAATGGTTACGACCTGTTCGAGAATCTGATGAAATGGTTAATAGTTGTGTTTGCAATACTACGTTTAATATAAAGTGGGATGGTGTAAAAGCTGTGAAATCTCACATGGAAGCAAATACTCATAAGCAAAGAGTATCTTTACTTGCTTATAACTCCAATCTGACCAAATTATTTCAACAGAAAAGTTCTAAATTTGATAATCAGGTAACAGCAGCAGAATTGACACAAGTTTATTCATGGTCTAAAGTCACATCACAGTTATTTATCCATAGAATGTGGAGGTAAAGTTAGCAATTCCATATTTCCTCACTTGATGGTTTGTAAAAATATAAGACTTGGGCATACAAAAATTGAATGTATTGTGCAAAACGTATTAGCTCCATATGCTCTTGAATTAATTATATCTGTTGTGAAGCATTTACCATTTAATGTTGCCATAGATGCTTCTAATAAAAGTGATAAAAAATTATTTCCAATCACCATTCATTATTTTAATTTGATTGACAACAAGCAACCTATTGTTCATGCTTTGATAGATTTTAAACAAACACGTGGGCAAACTTCTAAAGAAATTTTTAATGTTATAAAATCAACAATTGAAAATACAGGATTACCAATTGAAAATATCAACTCATTTGTAGCTGATAATGCACTGGTCAATTTTGGATGTAAATCTTTGATTTTTATGAAATTAAAAACAATTAACAATAATTTAATATAAGCTAACTGTAACAAATGCACGTATCTATAAGCATATTCTCTATAATACCGCTAAATATGCATTAAAAACAATGAAATATGACGGGGAAACAAAATTATTACAAAAGTTCTAGCCCTTGGTATAATTATATTAATTAAATTATCAACAGCCATGAGGCAGATAATAGTGAGGGCTTATCAGAGCAATGATGGGCACAAACGCTCAGGAATAAAGTGAAAATGTTTAATAAACACAAAAATGACTATATAAGTATGAAAACAAAAGAACCCAAAATGCATTTTGGACTATTTTCTATCAGAAAATCAGTTGTTATTAACTAAAGATTTTAGTATATTTAAAATTATACAAGGTAACGGTAAACTTAAAACTATGCCTAAAGCTATACAATATAAAGACGAAAATGCCGTTATAACTGTATGAGCAGTAAGCATTATCAGTATAGACAGGTGTAATAAATCTTCATAACGTTGCAAGGTAGCATGACATACAGGGTGGTGATACAAAACAGTTATAAGTTAGCCAATTATTGGTTTACAGTTACGAACTAAAGTTATACAGACAGATTATGTACATACAAAAACCAGTAGGATGACAATTAAACGTTTTCACTGATTCCTGAGTGTTTGTGCCCATCATTGGTCTGATAAGCCCTCACTATTATCTGCTTCACAGTTGTTGATAATTTAATTAATTTAATACTAAACTTTCCACATCATTATAAGTCTATAGCAAAAATAGTAGAATATCTACACTGGAGTACTGTAACAAATGCACGTATCTATAAGCCTTTTACTGGTGCGCATTGGTGAAAGTTAGCGCACTGGTAAAAGGCTTATAGATACATGCATTAGTCTATAGCAAATTTTCATTGAGTACCTGCAACATCGAAGAATTAAAAAATTGTTTCAATTTCCTGGAACATTCACACTATGAAATCTTGAATCATATTTCTACTAGATGGGTAAGCTTATATAAAGCTATTGATAGGCTACTGAAAAACTGGCCTGCTATTACCCTTTATTTTATAAATCAGGGAGAAGAAAAATGTAATCCTACAATCTGGACATTTGTGCAAGTTCATGAAAATACTATTAATGATCAAAAATCCTTACCAGAACTGATGTTATATTTCATACATTCCTTTTTACATATTTTCCAAAAATATATATTAATTTTTGAAGGAGAAAACATTGACATCACCGAATTACATACTGTTTTTACAGATCTTAGAAACGATATAGTGCAGAGAAAAGAACAGTGCTTTTATGGTTTTATAGTTAATCAGGCTCTTTTGGATTTTCCAGAGAATAAGAAAAAAATATTCAAACAAGAAGCCGATAATGTGTACTCACGAGCATTGAAATATTTAAACGACTGCTATGATTTCAAAAATGCATTTTTTATTTTAGTTCAAAAATTTTATTTAAAAAATAATGTTCCAACTATACAAGACTGCTGTGAACTTGATAAATATATAAACAAAATTGACTTCAAAGTAAAAGTAAAAAAGACCTAATTTTTTTATTTCTAAGTATAACATCCTAATTTTAAAATTTCCTGTCCCTCATCACCCAGCCACCCCATTGTGAGCCTGGCCAAAGTTATAATGGGCTTGCTTAAAGAGGCTCTCTTAGTGCCTACAAGCGGAAAGAATTAACAAAAAAAAAAAAAAAAAAAGGCGGGGGGAATTGGGGGACTGTCCGGGTCAGCAACTTTGAAAAGGTGACAACACTAATGATATTTCTTATCATATAATCAGATGAAAAACAAAGATAATGTCAAAATAATAAATATAGTCAAACAGTTGATATAGTACACTTCTAAATTGTACCATCTTTAACTGCTAATAAACAAATTGTATGCATAATGTTTCAAAATCAATGAATTACTAAATGTATGATTTTTGCATTGCAAACAACATTTTTATCAAATCAAATCATGTAACTTTCAAATTCAAACTTTCATGTTAAATCTTATTACTATATATAATTCTTATTGCTTGAGATATTTCAATTTTATGCCATATTTGATTTAGTGCCAGTTTTAGAGGCAAACAATGATAATACTAAATTGAAGTTTGATTATACAATAGAAAACCAAATATATACTGCATAAAATATATAAATGAAATGAAACTCTGCTAGAAATGTTTTTCATACCAATTTATATCTAAATTTTTATACCAGAAACTAAACTGTGTAAATTTAGTTTTCAAATTCTTGAATTGTATAATAAATAACAATATAATAAAGTTTAAAATTTATACATTAAAAGATTAAATATTTTATGACAGAATATTCAGTGTCATAAATAAGATAGTCTTTATTTTTATAAATATGCAGATATAGCTATCAAACAGTAATCAAGATAAAAATTTCCAGATTAGAATTGGGCAATTAAGTTGTTGGGCTGCAATTTGAAAAAATTATAGACCCATAAATTCCCATTGTCTTCTGTCCATCAGTCGTTCCTTAATCTTGAGAACAGAGTTAGATAGATGAAAAACCGAGACCAGATATGGAAACCATAGGGACAGGAGGCCCTATAATTTCCATAGCTATACTATATACAAACTTCCTATGCCAACCCAAAGTCATGTTATTTCAATTCATAAATTTTCCCCTAAAAGATGTTATCTGGATGACTGGAACGACAGGAAAAGTACAATGTACAGGACAAGCCACTACTAATTTGAAGTGGATAGCATATATTTTAAATTAAATAAATTTTAAAATGTGATTAAAAATTGCAGCCCGGCATTGTGACAATATCACAATAAACAATTGCTCGTTTAATTTTAAAATCTGGATTATAAACATGTACTGTACAGTACATCAACATTTATTGATAACATTAATAATTACAAAATTTGAGATTATATAATAAAACTTAGAAATTGTCAAAAAATATCTGCATGAAATACCAATTTAAATTCATAATCCCTACATAACATAAAAAATAAATATTTTATCTTAAAAAAAAAAAAAGTTTTCAGACTTATTTCTTTCTTCAAACTCATGACTCAAATAAGCTTAGAATTTGCTTTTACAATAATCAAAACTCATTTTACAAACTTTAATATCAGCCTTTAAAATGAATTATGAGAAAAAATGAGAAAAAAAAACCCCTCTTTTCTTAAGCATGATACTTTTTCATTAAAAGTCCACTTTTTTGATATGGTCAGATAACAGAAATGAGAAATTGACTGATAGAAAGTTTTATTTAAGTGGTTACCTATTTCAATATCTAAAATAGTATGTTATTTCTAGAAAGTCTGTATTGAACTGAATCAAAACTTCACAATCACAAGACTACATATTATACTAATAGTAGTCATATTCTATACTGTATTTGTAAAGACATTTATTCTATTGTGATAAGAGATTTAACCATTTATTCAATCTCCAAGATTGAAAAAATGGTTAAAAATGCCACAGGTTTTTTGTTGACAACAACTTTTCTACAAATATTTCTTTTATTTCTTTCCTAGCTATCAAGTCACCCTCATACATAATTTAAGGTTGGCAAGTATACATTAAGCAGAAAAGAGAATTATTAAACTATCAATTTTAATGATACTGTAACAAAATTTGTTTAAAATTCCTACTAGTTATGGAAAAATAAATTCTGAACACATTAAAATTTCACTATCAGAAAAGAGAGATACAATACTATATTCTATTTAAACAATAGAAATAATAAAAATTTTAAATAATGAGAATTTTATAAATTTTATGATGATAAAGAATTGATATAATAAAATTAAATAAACTACACAGAAACAAAAATTTATAACAAATTTATTTAAGATTTTATTATTATTATAAATTTAATATTAGATAAATATATTAAAACTTAAAAATTCAATTATGACCCATTTAGGTACAATTAAATAAAAATATTAAAGGAAAGAGTTCTGTATAAAAATATGATTAGAGTAAGTTTAATTGCATTAAAATGTGGCATTGTACTGTACATTAGGCATATTTTATAATAAATACATACACATTTTTCTTTCAATTTGAAGTGAATTAATGCCTAATGCTGCTTTACATTACTACAAACATGTTTTTAGATAAATTCATCTAAAAACATGTTTATAAATTTAAAATAATTACAATATTTAATATTTTATAAAGTTAAAAAGTGTTCAAAGAAATATTATTAGTTTTATAACAAATATTATGTGATATGAAAAATATGATTTCTTCTTTTTTATCTGAATAAAATAATGAAAATTGTAGAAAAATAATGTTCCATTTTATCTAGAAATACATCATTAAATATTTATATGTCAAATATTTAAACAAATACATTAAACAAAGTCTTCAAAATAGGTTCAAAAACTTTTAAATATGTAAGTGTTTTTCTTCTATTTAATCTTTTCATCAACTATTACATTGAACAAATATATAACAAAACTTTTTCTGAAACAGAAAACATTAAAAATCATTCAATCTTTAAAAAGAAAGCTTTTATATAATAGTTTTTTGAAATGTAAGTTGAAATGATGAATGAACTGATAGAAGAGACGAACTAAAGGAAT